GCTCTTCAACGCGAAGCGCCCCATCTGAAGATGAGGTGGGCGGGCGGACCGTGGATTGACGATCTTGCCGGAGAATTTTGGGGGAAGGGGCAGGGAAGCCATAGGATAGGGCCGAGTTGGACAGGGAGGCGGCAGATGGTGCAAGCGACGCCTCTCTTCCCTTCCCCAGTGGCGGGCTTCACTGGCGGCGGCGGCGCTGCCGAGGCACCGATGCAGGGTGAGCCGGGACAGGGCAGCGTGTCGTTTCTACTCTAGATGCGAGGTTGACCTCCGCGTGGACGATGGGGCTTCACTGGCGGCAGTGAAAGCTCTAGTTTGGTTTTGGTGAATTGATGAAACCCTAAATGCTAACCTAGTTTATTAAGTGATCATGAGATAGGTAGCATATTCCAAGTGGTGAAGCAAATGAAGATCATATATGATGATGGCAATGCCATGGTGATGATCAAGTGCTTGGATGTGAAAAGAAGAAAGAGAAAAACAAAAGGTTCAAGGCAAAGGTATAAATGGTAGGAGCCATTTTGTTTTGGTGGTCGAGACACTTAGAGAGTGTGATCACATTTAGGATCAATAGCCGTACTATTAAGAGGAGTGAAACTCGTATCGAAATGCGGTTATCAAAGTACCACTAGATGCTCTAACTTATTGTATATGCATTTAGGATCTAGTGGAGTGCTAACACCCTTGAAAATGTTTGTGAAAATATGCTAACACATGTGCACAAGGTAATACACTTGGTGGTTGGCATATTTGAGCAAGGGTAAGAAACTTCACTAGAGGAGTGTCCGCCCGTAGAGTGCGGACAGTCCGACGGTGCCACCGACGCTCTATACAGAAAAGACGGAAGTCACTGTAAGTGACCGGACGCTGGTCTCGGTAGGACCGGCGCGTCCGGGCAGTGGATGCGTGAAGACACTAGCGTCGGTCCACGACCGGACGCTAGGTCACTTGGTGACCCGACGCTGAAGGAGTGCGTCCGGTTCTGCTGTCGTGGCAGCGCATAGAGGAGACGTCGAGTGACCGAACGTTGGGTGAGTCCGGTCGAGCATGATCGGACGTGTCCGGTCGTGATTTTTAGCTTCTGGATGCTTACTGAAAATGACCGGACGCTGAGGTCCTACGTCCGGTCACTTCACAGCAGCGCGTCCGGTCATCACTTGACCGTTGGAATCGGGCGTTTAGTATTTGAAGAAAGGGGACATGTGGTGTGCATCGCACGACCGGACGCTGGGGTCCTACGTCCGGTCGATATGACTAGAGCGTCCGGTCACCCCGAGTTATGTCCAGTGAAGGGGTACAACAGCTCTATTTTATGGGAACTTCTATTTAAGCCCCATAACCGGCTGTAGCTCACTCTTTTGGCCATTTTCATTGACATAACAACCTTGTGAGCTTAACAAAAGCCCTCCCACTCATCTCCATCATAGATTCATCATCTTTGTGAGATTGAGAGTGAATCCAAGTGCATTGCTTGAGTATTTGCATCTAGAGGCACTTGGTGTTCGTGTTTCGCTGTGGGATTTGCTTGTTACTCTTGGTGGTTGCCGCCACCTAGACGGCTTGGAGCAGCGATGATCGTCGAGCGGAGGTTGGTGATTGTCTCCGGCTCCGATCGTGGTGATTGTGAGGGGTTCTTGACCTTTTCCGGTGGAGAGCCAAAAGGTACTCTAGTGAATTGCTCGTGGCTTGTGTGATCCTCATCTTGTGTTGGTTGTGCGGCACCCTATTGAGGGTTTGGCGTGTGATGCCAATTAGCGTGTGATCCTCCAAGTGAGTGAATCGCCACAACGAGGAGTAGCTTGTCGGCAAGCAAGTGAACCTCGGTAAAAAATCATTGTGTTCATCATTTGATTCCGAGACGATTGGTCTTCATTGATATTGATTCTTGTGATTGATTGGTTCACTCCTCGACACGGCGGTATAACTATCTTGCTCTCTCTCTTTATATTACCGTAAACTAGTTATCAAGCTATTTAGTGTAGCTAGTTGTGAGAGCTTGTTAGTTTGGTTAGTGTGGCTCTTTAGTTAGTCTTTGAGAGCACACTAACTTAGTGTAGTGCCATAGCTATTGTGTGGTTAGAGACAATAGAAACTAAAATTGTGGTAGGTGGCTTGCATTTTTAGTAGGCTAGCGCAACACTTGCTTCGCCTCATAATTGTCTAACCGGTTTGTTAAGTGTTGTTGTAGAAATTTTTATTAGGTTATTCACCCCCCTCTAGCCATTAGGACCTTTTAGGCGGCGCGGTGAGGGCGACGATGGGGCGCGGTGGATGCGTAGCCGTGCAGACGAATCACAGAGCGTGATTGGAGGGGATGGAGCATGATTTGAGGGGAGGGGAGGGAGCGGGCGGCGGGGGACGCGCGCAGGGAGTTGGTCGGAAGGAAGGGAACGACGACCCGCGATCCCACCTTCCTTCTCAGCGTACGACGCCTTCCTTCTCGGCGTACGACGGAACCGCGGTATCGCAAGGGGAGGGGCGGACCGACGGAGCGATGATTGTCACACGAAACGGTGGTCTTACTTTCTTTCTTTTTAGTTGTAGGAGATTTACATGGACTAAGCTTTTCACATATATTCAGTCATGTGATTTTTTTTGGAAAGCCACAATAGAGCATGTTAAATTGCCATGTCTTCTACAACCTCTTCTTGTCCCTGAGCACGCTTGGTCCACTATCCGTCTTGACATTGTGGAAGGCCTACCAAAGTATGATGGTATGCATGTTATCTTTGTAGCTGTTGATAAGGTTACTAAGTATGCAACTTCTGGCCCTGTCCCACACCTATATTGCTCTCCAAGTGGCCGAGTTGTACTTTAGTCAAATTTATTGTTTGCATCAACTTCCCTTTGTGATTATATCTGTGAGAGGCAAGATTTTCATCGGGGTTTTATGATAGGAGTTATTTCGACTGTCTGATACTCGACTACTGATGAGCTCCTCACATCCTCCCCAAACAGATGGCCAAACAGAGTGTTTGAATCAGTTTCTAGAACCCTTTCTTTATTGCACTATTCATTCCTGTCCAAAAGCAGTGGAATAAATGGTTGCCACTAGTGGAGTTTAGGTACAAAGTTTGTTTCAGTCTGCTCTAGGTCATATCCCTTTTGAGGTTTTGTATGCCCATGCTCGAGACATTTGGGAATTACCTATCCTTGCGATTTTGTTGTTCCAAATTTGGCCGGTTGGTTGAAACAACGCCCTTTGCTGACATCACTCATTCAACAACAGCTATCTCAAGCTCAGGCTTACATGAAACATCAAGTGGACAAAGGGCGATCAAAAGGCAGTTTGAGGTCAATGGTCTCGTCTATCTCAAGCTTCCACATGTTCAGACTACGGTTGCCATGAGATCAAATCAGAAATTGGCCTTTTGATCCTATGGTCCATTCAAGATTTTGAAACGTGTGGGCTCAATGGTGTATCAATTAGAGTTACCACCGACTGCGAAGATTTACCTGGTGGTGCATGTCTAAAATTAAACAACATATTCCTCCACAAACATTAGTCAGTATTGATCTTTTATCAGTCTCCATTGATCCAGATGCCCCAATTCCACTAATGGTTGTGTTGGATCGTCTGCTTATTTTAGTCTAGGGCAACTTCTATGAAGTTGGAAGTGCCCTGGGGTGACTCGACATGTTCCCTGGTGACACTCGAAGATGAACATGACATGAAGCGTCGTTGTCCTGAGAGGCATCAACTTGTGGTCAAGTTGTTTCTCCAGGGAGAGGGAATGCCATGATTCACACGGCCCTGAGGTGGAAACAGAGGAAGGAGGCGATGTGGAAGAAGTGGGTCTTTGATGAGCGGGAAAGTGGCTAAGGCTTCAGGTGTTGTTTAGGCTCTGTTCTAAACCGGATGGGAAGGCCGTAGGCCAAGTAACTCAGCGCTATGTCGCCTATATCAGCCATGGTTGGCTTGTAACACAGACCAACGAATTTTTGGGGATAACTATTATACCTGAACCAAAACATTCATCCTCCTCACAGAATCCAGCCGTGTCTGTTATCCTCGTCTGATTTCTCCCAAAATTCCTACTGATTACTTCCCAAACTCCATTCTAGCTTCCCAGGTTCACAACAATCTAGCTGAGGGACACATGTAGGGTGGACACCGTGTCTGCAATCCATTCCATCCATCGGTGTCGTCTGGCCTCTCGCAACTAATATGCAACAAAAGAACAGCACAAGATTTCGTAAACCACCTGAAGTGGTCGTCCAAATCACTGGTCGGGGTTTTTCGTTTTTCGTGTTCAAGCATCTCATCTGGAAGGAACCGTAATGTCAAAAAGAAAAAAAAAGGTTGCAAGAAAAAAACTTAATACGAAATCCTAATGAAGTTGCTTATATAATCGGTGGTTCTTACTCCATGTTGATCGACAACAGCATTGTGCTCCACATTGGCCGGTCCTTAACACAACGAAAACGAATCCAAGGCATGCAGCGCATCAACCAAAAGTACAGTATTAACGTACACGACTTGCTGTGCCTAAAGGTTTGTCGCCAATAAAACAAGGACAAAGCTGAATTGCCACTTCTGCTGCCTACAGCGGCCAGACAGCACACAGCAGTGACCTCTCCAGGTAGCTGCTGCCGCTACGCATTTTCTGTTCTTGCCATCGACCAGCCAGCAGCGGAGAGACGGAGAGACCAAGCAGCAGCTGGCCCAGACCATGGGCACATCACAATTCACATCCAAGAGCAAAGGCGGCAGGCCCCACAGGACATCGGCCGCACCGCGCACCGCCTCCGATCCTCCGCCGCAGGCCGCAGCTTTTGTCCGTCCGGCTCCTCCGCAGGCCGCGCTGTCTGGTATTCCCGTGCTCGTGCCGCCACGCCACGCCACGCCACGCCACCAACTCGGGCGGCACTAAGACGCGCATGATCACGTAGCCGTAGCCGCAGGCCGCAGCCGCAGCAGCCCCCTCCCCGGACGCCAAAACCGCGGCAGGACCGCAGGACAGGACAGGACGAGCGCTCCCCATCGCGATCATACGTCCATGGCGACGTTCACGCGCCGGAGGCACGGGGCGGCGGCGCCGGGGGTGGAGTGGGCGGCGGTGTCCGGCGCGGGCGCGTGGAGCGTGGAGGAGGTCGGCAAGCACCAGCTGATGCGGCGGACGGGGCTCCCCGCGCGCGACCTCCGCGCGCTCGACCCGGCGCTGTCGTACCCGTGCAGCATCATGGGCCGGGACCGCGCCGTCGTCGTCAACCTGGAGTGCGCCCGCGCCGTCATCACGGCCACCGAGGTGCTCGTCCCGGGGCCACGGGACCCCGCCGTCGCGCCGCTCGTCCGCAACCTCCTCGCTCGCCTGGCCGCCACGCCCACGCCGCCGCAGGCCTCTGTACGTCCGCCCGCTCGCTCCCTGCCCTCCTTGTCTCTCGGTCGCGGTCTCTTTACGCTGGTTTTCTTGGTCGTTTCATGCATGGACTGCTTGCTGAAGCATGGTTACGTTTGTTTGTTTGTTTTTTACCATGGAAGGAGGAGAACGAGGCCGCGGAGGACGGAGGTGCGTTGCCGCCGAGCCCTGGTGGAGTAGGAGGAGGCGGCGGCGGCAGGGACGATGGGCAAGCGTCTGCACGACGGGACAAGGTCCTGCCGTTCGAGTTTAGGGCGCTGGAGGTGTGCCTCGAGTTCTCATGCAAGTCACTTGAACAAGAGGTACGCCGTGCGTGCTGTCCTGTTCGCGCTCAACGCGGTCAAATTACTCGAGTATTTGCAGCGCTAAGTCAACTGTCATCATGCTGTTTGGAATGATTCGTGCATTTCTTCAGACTTGCACATTGGAGAAGGAGGCGTACCCAGCTTTGGATGAGCTCAGCTCCAATGTCAGCACTCTCAATCTTGAGCGTGTGAGACAAATCAAGAGCCGTTTGCTTGCCATCTCCGGGAGAGTTCAGAAGGTAATTAAGTTCCCTCGACGACCACTCTGTCTTCCCTTCTTGATGCCAGCTGAGCTGCACAAATTAAGTCTCGTCCAGATGACTCCAATATCGTTGAACCGCAGATGGTTGTGAATGTGTTCGTGTTGTTATATGCTCATGTTACGGCAATGAAATGAAGTGCCATTGCGCCATGCACATTTTGACAGGTCAGGGACGAACTGGAACACTTGCTAGACGATGACGTGGACATGGCCGCCATGCACCTATCCGACAAGGTCGCCTACCAAGCCGCCGCTGATGGCCGCTCATCGAGATTCGGCACCAACAACGAACCGAGCGAATTCGACGAAGAGAGGTACCCAAAGCTGATGAACTCCAGCTACTAGAACAGTGCCTCAGTGTCAGACAGAATACAGACGTAGCATTAGAGTAAGGCAATATTGCAGGGACCGAGAAGAAGACGAAGAAGGCGAGGAGGGGTCATCCGAGGGCGGCAACGGCAATGGGACCTCCGTCGTCGGCTTCACGCCCAAAATCGACGAGCTGGAGAACCTTCTGGAGGCCTACTTCGTGCAGGTCGACGGCACCCTCAACAAGCTCTCCACTGTACGTATCCTCACGCTAGCTGTGAGGCTGGTCGATCCCATCGTCCATTTATTGGCTTCTTGCCATCCTGAACTCACCATTGCTGGATCGCGCGCCTTCCGGCGGCTGATTGTTGTTTCGAAGCTGCGCGAGTACGTGGACGACACGGAGGACTACATCAACATCATGCTGGACGACAAGCAGAACCAGCTGCTGCAGATGGGGATCTTGCTGTCCACGGCCACCCTGGTGATGAGCTGCGCCATCGCGATCACGGGCGTCTTTGGCATGAACATCACGATCCCGCTCTACACTGCATCTACCGAAGGAGTCTTCTGGGAGGTCACCGGCGGCATCGTCGGCGTTACCGCCGCCATCTACCTCGTCGCCCTGATCTTTTACAAGAGGAGCGGCATACTGCAGTGAGTCAGTGACATGCATGGGAAGAATGGAGCATCTTTTCTTTTCTTTTTCTTCTGATAATAGAAATGATCGGACCTGCTTTGACGTGCGGAATGCAAATGCGAATATGGGATGGCGAGAGAGCTGGGAAGAGGCACTGACCTGCTATAAGCCTATAAGTTTCTGTGTTCATTTCTCCCTTGCTGATCTCTGTAATGACGCTTTTATCTAGTAGCAGAAGTTTGGGCAGTTTCTCGTCAGAATACTTGTTTTGGGAGAAGTACCGCGGCGGTCGCAGCAGGGCATATCCTCAAAAAGTCGCAGCAAGGCGTGAGATCAACGTTTGTTTGTCAGATTAACATGAGACTGATTGTCTTATCCCAACATCTCTTTCTATATTCTCTATCTCCATCTGACTATCTCCTGTTTATATCTATCTCTTCTCTTCTCTATAGCTTCTATATCTATTCTATTATCATCTATAATCTGTTATATCCATTATATATAGAGAGAGGCTCACACAACTTTCAAAGAACGCAGCATTCTTGTACTCACTTAGAGCATCTCCAACAGATGACTCATCACATCTCCAATACCAAAAAAGCTACCATAAAGATGATTGAGAGGTCTCCAACAGATTACCTAACCCATTACCGATACCTAAAACTTTTGAGATGGGGGATGTGTTTTGGTGATTACTCAAAAGTTTTAGTGACAAAGCAAAATCATGTCACAAACCTCGGGGGCTAACTATTAGTGCCGAAGCCAGATATTGTCACAACTATCGTCCTTGAATGACTCAGATATCGTCATAGATCACATGCGCCCCTCGCCCTACTCATCTGTGATGCTCTGTTTTGGAACTATAATGACCACTACTTCGTCAATGAACCAAATACCCATCTGACTATAGAACGCCGACGGCTTGTGTGGTAGCCACTTTTAACATGGGTCCTGTCGCGGTTTAATTTCCAAAAAAGTGTCCTACGTCAGGATCGAACCCATGACCTGGACGAAGCAACAAATCTTCTTTACCACTGCGCTAGACGTCCGGTTGTATTGGTACCTCCTCTTTAAAAACTTTATAGTATTCTATACTCTATGGATCCCCTCCTTGTTGATCTAAATTAGATATCCCCTCCATGTGGAAACGGATCTATGCCCACTTGACTTGCGCTGAGGTGGTGGAGGAGGCGGAGGCGGAGGATCCCTAGTCTGCTATGGTGGCTTAGGCGTTCTTCTGGATCGAGGCTAGGCGGGTGTGTGCTGCAATAGAGGCGCCCTGTAGTCTGAGTTGTGCCGGTTCGTAGAACAAGGGTATGAGCAACAAGGGCATGAGTACCTTCTTTGGTTATTCTATACAAATTTCAATTCGAATCAATGCTTGCTCCACTGAAAAAGAAACTCTATTTTGTCACACAAAAATAGAAAACCAAAGTGTCCCATATGATGATATGAACATTGCCATTAGATTTTGTAATTTTGTGTATTTCTTTAATTGCAAACAATTATTATTCAAAAAACAATGAATGCAATGTAAAATGGCATCAAAATTATTCAGTTGCAATAAACCAAATGATAGTTCGTTGCAATATTTCATTGCAACGAAACTATTTTGATGGCCTAAAATTTATTGCATCCTCTGGTTTTGTCATTGCAACGACGTATTTTGCAACGAGCTATACAATGTTGCAACATGCGTTTCTGCGATTCATTCTAATCAGTTGTAATTATTTGTATTGCATCGAAGAACCTAATTCTGATGCAGTAGGGTGTATTGCAATAAACTTGACTCCGTTGTAGTAGAGATTATTGCATCGAGACTTAGTATGTTGCAATACAACTTATTGCACCAAACTTATTAGACATATTGCATCAACACGTTTCTGATGCAAAAACCCTTTTACAACTCTCTATCTAGATGTAAGAGACATGGATAGCGGGTGCGATAACGACCCTCGCATCAACCATAGAAAATCGATGCGAAAGGCTATTGCTCATATAGTTCTTGCATCGGCTTGCATTGAACGTGAAATTGATGTGAGTACTAGCTATTATTGCATTGAAATTGGACATGGAACCAAAAGTGGGCTGGTGCAATAGGTCAAAATTTAGTGATTCTTGCCACTTGGATGGCTCAGTCATGGTGGATCATTGATCACTGTTTGGTAACGTACTGCACGAGGGCTTTGATCGGTGGTTTTGTGAGGAGCTTTGTGCTCATTCCCACGGTGCCAAAATCAATATCGTGGAAGAAGCTGTTAGGGTTACGTGGATGCCTACATGCTAGCACAAAATAATAACCGCAAAAAATAGGATCACTTGCATGTAGATGATCATAGACAGGGGCGGACACAGCGGTGGAGCAGGGGGGGGGGGGCTCAAGCCCCCCCTACCCATCTCGGAGCAGTGGAACCCCCTGTGGAGCCTCCATGAATTTTTAGGCAAAGTTCTATAATGTAAGGGGGGCTGAGACTTAAAATCAAACATCAGTGTTGTTCAGCCCCCCTGAAATATTTCCTGGGTCCGCCGCTGATCATAGATTATACCTTCTCGACCCGCGGCGCAGCAAAAGACTTGGCGGAACGCGCGTAGTCGATGTTGAGGAAGTAGTCGCGCAATTTAGCGGCACCTCTACGGACGTCCACACGTACAGGAGAGAAGAACGGCGGCGACGTAGCGTGCTAGCGCTAGACGACGTACATGGACTGCAGCAGATCAAACACCACCGCAGCACCTTTGCGGCGGCCTCCTGTTCACACGAAGAGAGGCAGCGGCCTCCTGTTCACGAGAGGGGAGGCGGCGGCGGCCTCCTGTCGATGTGTGCTAGGTTAATCGAATGGATTAGCACCCTGGCCGGATATTAGCAATATATATACTGCTAATGGTCCACCGTATGGGCCATATGGGCTGTCCAGCCCATATTGTCTTGGACATATACCCAACAATCTTCCACTTGCAGAAGACAATCAGGGTGGCCATAATAGTGCTGTGTCATGAACTCAATCCAATTGATCCATTTGTCTTTTTAGTCCTCTCTCTCCTTAAGTGTGTGACCTCATAGGTTCATGCAACCAACGGTCTTGACCCGGAAACCATTTCCGATCAGTAGTTAGCATTGGCCTCTAGCAATGCATACTAACTCCCAATGGTTCATGAAGATTATATCTTGCACAACCTTTTAACACTCTCCATTACTTTGTCCTTCTGCCACACGACACCTAGCCAAGTACAAGGCGAGTAAGTGCTACCCTTGATTCTCAGCCATTTCTCGCTCCGTGCAGAACTTAGTTTATCAACTATAGTCGAGACATGGCCTTGCACTTTCAGTTCCTACACATCGAGAGGGCCTAGATTAGTTCTCCTTGATACAGGAGGGGCAGATCCCATCTTGACTCGATGCACCTTGCAACTTGCTTCAAAACATACCCAAAAGCTACTTTTATGACTACCCAATTACGGAGTAGTGTTTTGAACGTTAGTATGTGTGTCATTTGCGAGACTAACCGATAGCACATATTCGTGGTCTCATAGTCAGGCCCGGTCCTGTCAATTTATGAACGAGCTAGAATGGGCCTTTCATTTACGACAACAGCAAGAATGACTAACCGAAGTGAAATCGCACTCTTCCTCATATTTTTGGGCCACATATATGATTTTCTATTAGACATAAGTATACCAGCTATAGCTTATAGTGTGTACATACCTGGGATTAGGCCCCTTGGCTTCGAGGGCCCTGTGCCAATGCACAGCTCGCACCCCCCCAGGGCCGGGCCTGCTCATAGTGGGTCGATCCAACACTGTGTTCTCAACACATATCTATATTGTTGGTGCAATATCCAATATCGCTATGACCCGTGAAACGTGATCATCCACCCAACACATGTACCAACTTATCTCTACGTCACAGCTTGTAACACCCATGTTTTTGCATCATGTTAAAAAACACTAAAAATTTAAACTTTTTAAAACTTTGCTACAAATTAAACTAGATTAGTTTATTTCCTGCAAAACCCTGCATTAAAAATCCACCATATGCATTTGTGTGTCGCGTAGGATTTAGTTGTAGTGCTAGGAATATTTTCTAGGATTAGAAAATCGCTTCGCATTTAAATTCCATTACCCGCACTTTGTTTGCTTGAGTGCTTGAATGATTGCTTGTAATGCTTGATTGCGTGATTGATTGCTTTTCTAGAATTTATTTGCGGCACCAAAATAACTTTCCTTAATTACCAATTGCATTCTTGAATTATTTAATACCTTTCCTTTATATTATAGAGGTAGATAATACATCGTAGATATAAGCAATATTTTATTCTTTAGGAATTATTATAGCCATCGCATTAATAAATTATAGGTTTAATTTTTATTTCTGATATTCCCTTCTCAAATTACATTTAGTTAATTTATATTTATTATGAAATCTATGTTAATTGAATGGATTAGCAGTCTGGCCGGATATTAGCAATATATATACTGCTAATGGTCCACCGTATGGGCCATTGTCTTGGACATATACCCAACAGAAGCATCTCAAGATCGGCACCGTCCTCGGTGCCAACCGGCAGCTCCTGTTGCGCAAGTGCTGCCTTTGCTGCTGTAGCATTAATTTGAGGCTTTCCAGAGACAATGCCTTCGTATTGTGTCTATTTGATCAATGACACCAGCTGGCAAGATTAGGCTACTCATGTAAAAGGCTGGCCTGCAGAGATCACAACATTAACCATTGTGGATCTTCTAGCGCAGCTCAACTTACCAATCTTTGATCAGTTTTGTTATGACAGCAAAGTAACCACCAACCTCTGGTCTAGCGACACATAAAGGCAGGGCCAGGTAAGTGAAATGGGAAGAGCCTTCTACTTTACAATTCTATATAAATTGTCGTGTGGATAGCCACTTACTTTCTTAGACATTAATTAGGGCAATACCTAACTGCATAAAGTCCCGATTTCTTTCATGCAGAATATATATTGGCTAGTGCATCTCTTGTGTGGTGGAGAAGCAAACCCTACACCTAGTAAATCAGCTAGTGTCAGGCATGAGTGGAGAAAGCAGCTAGGATTTAGACATGGAGAACCAACTGGTCATGTAAACATATTGGAAATTATCAAATCCATTTTTCATTAAAATACATACCCTCCGTCCTTAGCTATATCTAGACCTGCTCAGACATACTTGCTCCATTCCATATTAAGTGCAGTTTTAGATCTGGACATGAGAATTAAGTTGGGGTGAAAAAGGTGTGGTGCAAAGGAAACGAGAAAGAGAGAGATAGAGATAGAGATGTATTCGGAGAAGAGAAATATACATTGAAAAGTAAGAATGACACTATTTGTCGGACAAAATTCGAATGCTACAATGACACACTTTGTGGGATGGAGAGAGTATTCAGGAAGAGCTATAGAAAATATAATTTGCCCATTGATAAACTTGTTTAACTGCGTGCAATGATCAATTCCATCACTATTATAGAAACGATTTATAGAGGCATGTATTTTTTCTAGAAGCAGTTCCATCAAGAACAACCTCTCGAAATGCCTCTAGAGTGCCCCAGCTATTGGACTGCATCTGGAAATCAAAATCTAAAAATGGTCTCAATTCCCAAACTAGAAACATTCCCTTTCAGAGCTGGCTGCGAAATAACGATTGCACCAAAGTTGAACAAGCATTGATAACTCACTGTCACTTGCATCTTGTATTTTTCAACTCCTTGAGCTAGCATTTTTTTTAAAAAAAGTGGAATTCTCACTTCCAAGAAATCAATCAATTTCAAGTTTAATCCAAATATATAAAAATAAGTATCATCTCTTATATTAATCATAATTTATATTTTAAAATATGTTTGAAGATAAAAATATTGATATTATTGTTTTCAGCGAGCACCGCGACAAAATTCCCTTTGATAATTTAGTCCAAAATTAACGTTTTCACTGCCGTCTTGACTGGCCAGGGGTGGGAGCAGCAAGGCACGGTGATGGTTGACGGGGCTACTAACAAGAGATGACAAGATCCCGGCAAACAACTCAGCTTGAGAATCTCTCATGAATTTCCATCCTACGATATATTGCGCGCATGATATAAAATGCATGACGTTTTTTTTTTGACTTTACTTAGATTGCCTATATATTCTATATAATCTCATGACACCTTAATAGAGATGCAGAAGGTCCCCATGGAGTTGGTTGACGCACTTTGCAATGTCAATAGCATTTCACGTTGTTACTCTTGCCGGTATCCTAATCAAAAATCGACCAACGAATCCAACAGAAACAGTAGCAATATCATAAATAAAAAATCAGTTCCGGACGTTTAAAATCAGTCATTCAATGAGTCGTCTTTAAATACACAGCAAACTACCTGCATGCTTACTGCTACCCGATTAAGGTCGATATGGACGGGAGAAAGCCGCGGACGACATGATGGATTTTGCCATCATGATACTGCTGATCGTCAAACAGATGTTCGTATTATCATATTGAGGCAGTGACCACCGGACCACGGATTGAACGTAATTTGTCTTCGTCTTCCTACCGCCAGGCTGCAGCAGTCTCTCCTCCAGCTGGTGATGGAGGTCGTTCTTGAACGAACTCCATCACCAGCAGGAGGAGAGACGCTGCTGACTGGCGGTAGGAAAATAAGTGACAAATTACGTGGTCTTGTAAACGGTGGTCACTGGTCACCTTGTTATGATATTCCAGCGATCTGATTGACCCGTATCATGATGAGAAATGCAAAATCCATCATGTCGTCCCGTCCATATTCAAGATCTAGCAGTTACAGGTTAATCTGGTATACTACTAAGACGACTCATGAGTTTCAATTTGTGTTTATTTATTTTTTTTCATTGAATGACTGATTTTACTCGTCCGGAACTGATGGAGGGATATTTGTGATCGAATTGCTGTACGTTTCTGTTGGATTCGTTGGTCGATTTCCAGGATTACAGTTACCGGCAATCTGTACAACGTGAGCCTGAAGTTGACATCAGCAACGGTGCTAGCAGCATCAACCAACTCCATTCCCGTGATTCCCTTCTGCCTGGCGCTTCTATTAAGGTGTCTAACTGAGATTATATAGAATATATAGGCAACGTCTATGGAGTATAATTTGTCAAAAAAAAAACGTCTATGGAGTAGTTTGTCAAAAAAAACGTCTATGGAGTAATTTTATATGCATGCTTTGGTTGTTAACTATATATATGGCGCACGTAGGATGGAGGAGTTGAAGCTGAGGAACCCATCCGGCATAGCCAAGCTGACTGGCGTGGCGCTCTGTCTTGCCGGGATCTTAGTCATCGCCTTGTACGCCGGGGAGTTGCTGAGCCCCGTCAACCATCACCGTGCCTTCGCTGCTCCCACCCATGGCCATGCCTCTGCCACGGCAGCGAAAACGTTAATGGGAGCCGCGTGGATCAAAGGGACGTTCGTCGCGGTGCTCGCTGCCTGGCATGGTCCATGTCGCTCGTCCTGCAGGTCTCATCAACATATCTGCAGATCAGAACTATATAAATGTTTTATTAAAAGTGCGTTACCTTGTGCATTCATCTCATCATATATGTAAAAAGCAAAGCAGGCATTCTGTGCTCAGCGGAGTTCAATTCTTGTGACAGTGAAAATTCTTGAGACGAATCTTCTTAGTCGCAGTGGTTGCTGAGAGGGACTGTCATCTCTTAGCTCCGGCTTTGACATCAGCTTCAAGAAGGAGTTTACTCGGTAAATTTTGTATTTGACGAGTTAATTAATTACTGCATCAAGTTTTTTTATTGTTTTTTTCTAACTATAAGTAAACTGGTACTGGTACCGGATCCTCATCTAGAACAAAATTTATTACAAACTGTTACATGAGTTAGGTTAAGAAAAATGTTAACCTAGATTAAGAATTCTCAGGGTTTCCATCGGAAATTGTCAACTAGGATTCAGAAGTTGTTGAATATAAGATCTCAAAATTTGTTGCATGCTCTCTTTTCCTCATGTCGAATTTTCACTAGATAAGTAACAAATGCACCTTCACCAAATAAAGCTTTTATTACATTTTTATTGCCAATGCTAGCTATACTGAGGGATTATTTTTATTCATTTGCACAACCCATTTCCAAAAAAGCGACAGCAATTTTTAGAATATTGATTTGCCTGTTTATATGCATGCATGGATCCAACAAATCAATGGGCCAGGGGTTTTTGGTGTCCGGACTGAACTACTATCTCCAAGCATGGTGCATAGAGATGAAGGGTCCTGTCTTTCAAACCGCTTGGACTCCACTCACCTTCATCCTAACAATATTTTGTTCTTCCTTCTTTCTAGGAGAGATGGTTCACCTTGGCAGGTAGGTAAGCTATATACTATATTGTACGTCAGATCAGCAATAAACAAATATAAAAGTTGAATAATCGACCTTTTCCTACCTCTCTTGTTTTTCCTCTCAATGCAAAACTGCAGCGTTATTGGCGGAATCCTGCTATGCGGAGGCCTTTACAGCGTGCTATGGGGTAAAAGCAGGGAAACTAAGACCGTGCAATGCAACATAGAGGCCACCATGGTCGACGCCGGTGCTCAAGATGAGGTTCACAGGCGGGAACTAGAAGGGTAAAAGGAAAATAAGAGTAGGGAAGAGCAGGAGAAAGCAGAATTTGTAACCTGTATTCAACAAGTGTGATAAATTATTAGTTAAATCGGGAATTATTTCTGTTTATTGATTTTTTTAATATATTTATGTATCATAACATCCTATATTCCTTTAAAAAACTAATTTGTTAACTAAAATCAGAAACAAGGTATTGTATGTGAAATCTTAGGCGTGGCTATTGAACGTTCACAATTTGCCCACATTTTTGCTAACTAGAGAGAGAGCACGGATCCCTACTTCAGATTTCAGAAGTCAAGTCTCACATTCTCTCATCATGGATCTGTGTAATCTAATACCAGAGGAATTTTTAGCCAATTGTTCTGAAATTTTTAGCCAATTGTTCTGAAATTTTGTGATATTTTCATTAAAATTTGAAAATTGAACAAATCTCATCCATTTAATGATGTATGCATTTATGAGATCATCCAAAGGGCCAAAAATCATGAAATTTCAGCCGAAATTCTGAACCAATTCAAAGCATCTGACAGCTACTCCTTAAATATATCAGTTCAGTTTTGATATCAACTAGGGTGCCACACCTAAGTAATCAAGGACCCCATGCACTGAAATACTCAATAGATTAATTAAGAAATGATTGACGACGTATGTGAGTACATCAAATCAATAAAGAAATTTACTAGTGCACGGGTGTGCTGGAAATGAACTATCGGATTGCACATGCCTTTTCCTGGGGGGAAAAAATGAAACTCCCCTACCGTTTTTTTTTTTTTGGAAACACACGGAAGCAGGAGGGAGAAAAGGTGTGTGGTTGTGTGCCGCTTCCAAGCAGTGGGCCTATACGAACCTGTCGTCCTAGGCCAGTCTCGGTGGAGATTTCATTAAAGTTTTATAAGCATTAAATAAGTTGACATGCCATAGATAAATGAAGAAAGGGATGATAAAAGTTTCATGGGATGAAACTTGTCTACACAATTTCTAACACATGAGGTCTTGGAAACTAGAATATGAAACCCACCGCTGAGACTAGTCTTAGTTTTCTTGTCGCACCTAATTCTTCTATTCCCCACATAAACCCAGATCGAGATCCAGAAATCCAGAAATCACAAGAACCCTGATGATCCAAAAAAATCAAACAAGATTAAAGCAAAAGAATCAACATGATCAGGTATTCAAAGTCAAATTCTTGCTTTTTTTTATCTTTCTTGTGATTTCTGGCATAGTGACTTCGTATCTCCTGCTCAGTTCATTTTTCGTTTTGATCATGTTCTTCCTCTATCACAGTAGAACAGAAATCTGAAAACTGATTTACAGATTTAGCTTTATATTATGCTAGTTCCTTTTTGTAAATTTTACTTTAAAAAGAAACTTAGTTTACAAAACCAGCCAGAATAATCCACGATACGTACTCTTTCCTAACAAGGCTGAGGAAGTTCCTTTTGTTGCTAAAAGAAACTTAGTTCAAACCTAGAATTGTACTCTTTAAAAGGCCGAAGGTAGGAGTGCTAGAGTTTACTAAGGATGAAAAGTTATTAGAGCATCTCTAAGAGTCTTTCTAAAGTTTGCTCTCTAAATTATCATTTGGAGAGTCATTTCTATAAAAAAACACTTTCTATATCTTTCCATTCTCCAACATTTTTTTTTCTATATCTTGTGTGCACTCTAGAAAGTTATTCTCGTTTTCTATCTTTATAGCTAACGAGAAATCCAGAATAGAAGATGACTATAGATAGCCAAATAAAAAAGTTGTTGTAGGGTTTCTTAGTAGCTAGGAAGAATATAGAGAATCTCCTGGAATTGCTCTTAGAGAGGATAAAGATAAAATAGAGATATGTCATATTTGTTATATATATGGCTGTGGGTCCTAAGGGAAAGTGCGCGCTGATACAGAATGCTTTGCTTTTCACATTATGATGAATGCACTTTGCAATGATAGCATTATATTTTATTAATATTTCGGATCCTATCAAAAGTTTTATGAGAATTCAGCAGCTATATATATAGAACAAAAGTATCAGAAACACATTTTAAGCCCTCTAATATAAGTCTCTAGCTGTGTAAGCGCAGATTATCTAGAAACTAGGTCGATATGGACCACTGGACAAAGCCTTACATAGTCGCCATCATCATACGGGTGATCTTCGCAGGCATGTTCGTTATCAACAAGGCCGCAATAGACCACGGATTGAACAGCTTCGTCTTCATCTTCTACCGCCAGATAGCCGCGTCTCTTCTCTTGCTGCCAATTGCAGTCCTTCTCGAGAGGTAACTCGATCACCCGCTGGCCGCTGACTGACTAAAAGCTAGGAAAACAAGCAAAATCACGTGGTCTGGTCAACAGTGTTCATCACCTCAAAATGATATAGAGATGATCTGTTTAATTTCTAGCAGGAGAAATGCAAGATCCATGTCGTCCGCATTGCTCTTCAAGATCTTCGTGTGCGCCTTGATCGGGTACCTAAGCTAAGCATATGCATATAGTTTTGTTGAGTAATTTATTTAGGTTCATTGAACGATTGATTTCCTCCGGAGCTGAAGGAGGAATTTGAGATCGAATTGCTGTTGGATTGGTTCGTCGGTTTCCAGGATTACAGTCAGCGGCACCCTGTACAACGTGAGCCTGAAGTTGACATCAGCAACGGTGGTAGCAGCATCAACCAACTCCATTCCCGTGATTACTTTCTGCTTGGCGCTTCTATTAAGGTGCCTAACTGACATTATAAATCATCGAATTAAGTATATATGCAATATCTATGGAGTAGTGATTTTTTATATATATGCTTTGGTTGTTAACTATATATATATATATATGGCGCACGCAGGATGGAGGAAGTGAAGCTGAGGAGCCCATCGGGCATAGCCAAGCTGACTGGCGTGGCGCTCTGTCTTGCCGGCGTCTTTGTCATTGCCTTCTACACCGGGGAGTTGCTAAGCGCCGTCAACCATCACCATGCCTTCGCTGTTCCCACCCATGCCTCCTCCGCGAAAACGTTGATGGGAGCCGCGTGGATCAAAGGGACGTTCGTCGCCGTGGTCGCTGCCCTGGCATATGTCCTCTGGCTCATCCTGCAGGTCTCATCAACATCTGCAAATCAGAACTATATACATACGTAAATGTTCTAGTATTTTAATTTTACTTATTACCTTACGCTATATATCTGTGTCCGCCATATACACTCCATCCATATAGGCCGCCGTGCTCAAGGAGTTTCCGAACAAGATGCTTGTGATGGTGACACAATGCTTGTTCAGCGTGGTGCAATCGTTCTTAGCCGCAGTGGTAGCTGAGAGGGACTTCTCGATGTGGAAGCTCCGGCTAGACATCGGCTTGCTCGCGATCTTTTACTCGGTAAATTTTTGCATATGATGAGTTAATTACTAGTTCAGGCCGGTGTATTTTTTGTTCTTTCTAACTAGTAAACTGGTACCAGATCCTCATCTAGTCTAGCACAGGATTTATTTAGAACTCGTTACACTAGTTAGATTAATAAAATTGCTGACCTAGGTTAAGAATTTTCAGGGTTTCCATTGGAAGGATTCTGAAGCTGTTGAATAAGATTTTGAATTTTGTTGCCCCGTTTTCCTCATGTAGAATGTTCACTACATAACTAACAAACGCATCATCACCAAACAGGGCTCTTATTGCATTTTTATTGAGCAGTACTAGCTATACGCACTATATTTATTTGCACCACCCATTTCTAAAAGCGACAATATAATGTTAAGAATACTTATTTGCCCGTTTGTATGCATGGACTAAACAAATCAATGGGCTAGGGGTTTGCGGTGGCTGGAGTGAACTACTATCTCCAAGCATGGTGCATGGAGATGAGGGGGCCTGTCTTCCTCACCGCTTGGACTCCACTCAGCTTCGTCCTAACAATATTCTGTTCGTCCTTCTTTCTAGGAGAGATGGTTCACCTCGGCAGGTACATAGCCATATATATTATATGTATGTCGGATAAAAAAATAACAAACGTAAGTTGAGTAATTGACCTTTTGCTGGATGAACTCATGATGGAATTTGTTGATGCCAACCCTATTTTTCTCTCTGAAAAATGCAGCATTATTGGTGGACTTCTGTTATGTGGAGGCCTTTACAGTATGCTATGGGGTAAAAGCAGAGAAACAAAGACCGTGCAGTGCAACATAGAGGCCACCACAGTCGACGACGGTGCTCAAGATGAGGTTCACTGAGAATATTAGAAGGGAAGAAGGAAAATAAGGGTAGGGAAGAGCAAGAGAAAGTAGAATTAGAAACATGTATTCACGATCAATTCAGTTGAATCAGGAATTGTTCATGTTTATTAATTTGTTTCATTATATTTATGTACCATAACACCCTATGTTCCTTAAAAAACTAATTTGTTAGCTAAAATTATAAGGTATTGTATGTATGTAAAATCTAGGTGATCCATGCTCTCACTGATTGCATGTCAACAATTGGCTAATTCAGGCCGTGGAAGATGAATCTTCCCTTAGACTTAGGTAGAGAATTGCTTTACATGAAACACTGAACCAGTTGGTATGCTCAGAGCCACATGTGCAATATTTAGCTTTCTATCTATTAGCTTGTTGGTTTTAGTCTAGAGCTTACCAGCCAACGGTGTTTTTCTCTCACAACAAACTAGCACCAGCCGGGTGTGAGACCCCACTAAATGGGCCAAATATGGGCCGGTTGATGGTGGGCTGAGCCGCCAAACTACTGTAGCTCAGGTTGTCGACACTGTAGCCGCGGAAGGTACTGTAGCAGGCAGACTTAGTACACCTCGAACCAGAGGAGGGTTGAACCAACTTAAAAACTTGAGCTCTAGGGAAGCTATTAACTCCGGATTGATCCTTTTGCGCGAAACTGAGGATGAAAGCGTAAGAGAGTTAATTAGCATGTGTGGTCCTTTCAACGTGTAGAGTGGATCTTAGCCGACTTCTCGGGCTAGGGCGTTACAAATGGTATCAGAGCCAACTCTCTTGGTCCACATCCATATACCCAGCTCCCCGATCCAAGTGCCATGCTCTTATAGAGCCGAGCCATGCGCAACCTGTCCGAGCTTCCGAGCCATATATCTGTGAAACCGCGAGAGTTGGCCACAAAACTCCTGGATGTGCCTTGCTTCGTGTAGACTGCATGTCTATCACATACTTGTGTACGACATGTAGTAGGGTTGGCCTCGGTGCGTCGTGCAGCAAGGCCGGAGTCGATGCAGCGGTCAGCAGGGCTCTCACCGTAGCAATCACGTCCCCATTAGCGATGAGATGCCACGCCTCAGACGGTAGAGGCACGTCGCGTGGCGGCGGCACATCGTCGTCCGGCAAGGGCATGTCGAACGGCAGCGACACGTCATCCATGCGAGGGCTCGCGGAAGAGAAGAAGCGGCGGCGGGGATAGGGAAAGACGAAGCGACGCGGCATCAGCTGCCTCTTCGTTACATGAGTTTGCCCAGGGGCAAATTCGTACCTTAGTTGGCTGATTTAGGTGAAATAAAATAAAAAATAGGAAAAGTGGAAAAATAGTAGAGAAAATAAGAGGCAAATGTTTTGGCTGCTATTTTTACGAAAGCAACGTTTGAAATGCTAATTTTGCGAAGCACGTTGTTTGAGCTGGTAAAAGTGCATTTTTCTCACGGAGCTCCACGTCGGCGATTTCACTTTCACGGAGAGGAAGCATAGACAGAAAACAATGGAGAAGAAGGTGCCGCTCGTTTTGGTGGGATGAGTTTGCCCCTAGGTTCTAGGGAATATTCCAGGTGGGATGTCCTTTACTCTACCCGACTCCCAACCAAACACAAAAAAACAGGTCCATCCCATCCATATCCCACCTAGTCCCTAGACCAAACACTACCTTAGTTTTAGTTACTGCAAACTTAACAATTTCTCAGATGAAAACCTATCCTCAGTCTCATTTTTACCTAGCTCAGGAGACCAAAGAGGCAAAGAGACTTGATAAATAATGCAGAATTTTAACCTAGCATATGGTTGTCTTATCTTGTTGTAACTATAAATGTACGTGTTGGCCACAAAACTCCTGGCTGCTTGCCTGATATCTGTTTTCAGAATTTTGGAAGCCGTGAGACTCCTAGATGTAATGTTTTTTATTTTTCATTTTTGCTGCCTTGTTCTATATTAAATCATTTTGCCCTGCTGCGTGCATGCTGCTACCGTGAAGCTGTTGTGATCATGTCCCAGATCCACAACGAGCTGAATGTTCAGTTGAAAAAGAATGTAAGGGAGGCACTTTGTTTGCTTGTGGGTGAAAGAGAATTCTTTACAATTAGAGTATGAATATTTGTAATCTTTGGTTGTTTGTGGGTGTGGAATCATGTTGTATCAAATAGCAACACAATGGTATTACTAAAATAATATTTATAATTGATCATGGCTACATGTAAGCATTAAACCACTTGCAGACTTAAACAGACGATTCGGCTGTCTATAGGTTGTACGAGCTGTATGTTTAGTTGTTTGTGTTGTCAAGAACTTGCAGACAGGTCACTGTCCCGCTATCCGTGGGCTGTACATGCCCTAATGTATCAATTGTGCGCAAGCGCAAGTAAAAGTGATTGGAGTTGGTGAATGTAAATTATTGGGATGGTTGCAAGCAATAACAGTCATAAGATACTGAAATCCTAAAAACTAATTAAATGTGAGATGCAATGAGTGCAAGAGTAGAGGTGGTGATTCGATACCTATGCTTATACCTATTGTAGATGAATGATGGTTTGTGAAGGATGCAATCAAACTCATTAATTGATGAAAATCAAAGTCAAATTCACCCGCGGCACTGCCGCTCTGTGAGCGCGGCACTGCCGCATCTACAGGAAAGATTAGTTCACAGTTCAAAATCTACTCAACGAAATTTAGATCGAGTAAATTTCTTAGCTTCCTGCAGGGTAGTAGATCACAGATCGACAGCTGAAAGTAGTGGGAACACCACACATAAGTAGATCGGCCTCAAACTCTAGAAATCACCTCAACAACAACAAGAACACAAGTGTAGCAACACAAAGCACAAGATGACACAAGGATTTATCTCGTGGTTCAGCTCGCCACCAAAGCTTGCCTAAGTCCATGTTGTTGAGGTATACCACTAAGGCTTAGGGCTTTGCAACCCTACCTCGTTCTCAAGTCAAGAGAGTGAACTCTTAAGATGAGAGGTGATTTTACTCGCTGCAAGAGGTGGTTACAAACCTCCCGAGGCTGCCACAAACTTGGCAAGCTTACCAGGCGACGCTCTAGCTGGCTAGGTGCCAAGCTCCAAGAGTAACAAACACAACCGCCGACCAAAACGTGAATCAAATGCTCTTTAGGCTTTGAGAATCAGTGGAGCTGCTATCTAAACACTTTTGGCACATTTTTCTCTCAATGATTGATGGAGAAATCAAAGAAAAAGCTTGAGAGCTTGAAGGGCACCAATGGAGGAGAGAGGAGATGAGCACCTGCTGATTTTCGTCGGTCGGAACCGTTGGGGAAGAAAAGAGAGACGTTATGGAGGATAGGGAAAAGTATAAATACCCCCCTGCCTCCCAACGGTTACTTAAGTGCGGCAGTGCCGCCCTAAGTGCGGCAGTGCCTCTCTCCAGGTGCGGCACTGTAGCACCCAGCAAGACAGCAAGGATGAAGGAGTTGTTAAGTTGACTGTCTTGGCTGAGGTGTGAGGATATTTTGTGTAAAGATTGAACATTTGGTTGCACACTTTTAACCAGTTGTAGTGTCCCCCTTTATAGTACGGCTTTTTCCATACTCAATTTCAAAAGACAAAAGAATTCAAAACTCCTTCGAGCGCGATGCCGTCCTTATTTGTAATTGGGGGCTCCTCCTTTTCATGTGACATCCTCTATAATGAATTCCCTGCTTGTCATCTTAATAAATCTCATTAGTTCTCTAATTAGGTGGTCATCAACACCAAAACCCACATTAGGGTTTGATTGCACTTACAGATGTTGATCCTAGGTTTGTCTTGCCGCTGGTGGAGCCTTCCCCCTCGTCAGAGAGGAGGAAGATGACGGGTGCAGTGGAGGAGCTCTCGGTGCCCCTCTCTGGGTTGCCCTGCTCTCGGTGTAGAGCTCGAGCGGAACAGTGAGGACTCAATGATCTGTCTCGGATTGTCCTCCCCCCGCTTAGGATTCGACCTTCCCCTTATATATCGAGGTAGGTCAGGTACATGATGGTTTGGGGGAGTTGTGCCTATGGTCTACATGCGCCGGAGTCCAGGAGGGTCTTGCAGCGGCGCCGTGTGGACCGTGGCGATGTCGTGGAGCCAAAGAAGCTCTGGACGTCGTCCGGCTGCTCTGTTCTGACACGCTGAGTGTCAGGCTATGTCGGCTTGGACCGGTCTCCACTAGGTATGCCTTCTGGAGGCTTCTTGGTGGCGAAGGAGGCCGGCTTGAGGGGCTGACGCGCGGACCCGGAAGCCCCCGAGCCCCTGAATCCAGCGGAGGAATTTGTCTTCTTGCGTCACGCCCATGCGTGACCCTGACGGAGGAGCGGTTAACAGAGCCACACCCGCGGGGTAGCGCCGGGGAGCCCCCCGAGCCTCGGTGGCTTGGGGCGCACCTTCTCGTGCCCGGGCCTTGGCCGACGCCGAAGGCTGGGAGGGAGCCAAGGATTGGGTTCAGGCTTCCGTCGATCGGGGGCCTGAGGCTCAGGCGAGACCCCAAGCCCCGAGCAGAGGCGACGGGCGTGCTCGGGCTCGGCCTGATTCCTTTGCCTAAGGGTACGTGCGAGCGTACCCGAGGGGTATAGCCCCTGAGCCTCCGATCGATCCTAGAAGGGTCGATCGGGGGTCTCTCGATCGGGAACCCTTTATCCTAAGGCTTAACATACCCCTATGTTAGGATCTCGTCAGTTAGCCTTATGTGCATCACAATGCTCTTGCTTAAACTCCATCAAGATGAATGCCATAGACCCTCCAACGTCGGTGAGTGTGTGGCCACGCATTGTGCTCGTTGCACGCTACTGTGGCACCACACAAGGACCATATATCCTCCCATGTCAGATGCCACATAGGCGGAAGTGTTTTATGTGGCCTATTTTGGATGACAGCTAGGACGTAGACAAAGTTCATGGACCGAGACGAGTAAAAAAGTTCATGGACCGAGATGAGAAGTGGGGAAAGTTTTAAGTACCCAAAGCACAATTCACTCAATTAGAAGCTTTACACCAGGATATTGAAAACTTATAATGGTATGCTTGTACATCTA